AGAAAGAGCTTTCAGTGTGATGGAATAATTCTTGTTCGAAAAGAGGAAGGTCGGAACATGCCTGGGACCTTTGTTTATCTACTCGGGAGCCAAGAGGACAATATAGGTGGACCAAAGTCTAGCAGTGGAGACCAGGAGCCTGTTCAGGATGCAGAAGCAGGCAGAACTGGGGGCCTAACATACAAAAAATGATCGCGCCCTAGGACAGTGTACCCAGCCACACTGAGTATTTGATAGACCCCTCTTTAAGAAGCATCAAAACTATCTCTTTCAGCTCCGAAGTCAAGGTTAGAGTAGTGGAAGCAGAATAGTGTCCTTGGTCATCTGCTTACTGACCATCCTCGATCAGGGACAAGGCACAGGAGAGCCTCATCATCACTATTTCTAAGTTCTTCGTGAAATAGTGTCTCGGCTCCAAGTGTGAGTATATGAGTAAGGCTGTGAGCAGATGTCAAAGCCCCATCCTGGACTAGTTAGAGAACTTCCTGGAGCACCCTGGGAACGAGGAAACAAGGATGGATGACCACAATAGGCACCGGCTGAACAGAAACAACTGTCTTGCTTCTTACGCTGTTGGGTCAGTTTGCCTGTTTATAGAGACTATTGGCATTGTGTTTCTCTCCTTTTGGTGGCCTGCTGGTGACTGTGGCTAGCCAGGGTCCCACAGTGCTTCCTATCCTGCAGGTAGCAGAATGGGCTAAGAGAAGGGTACAACCGTCCCAAGATACAAGATACCTGAGCTAAGGAACCTTCTACGGAGAAGACAGATGAGATGTGTGCACCTGGACACCGAGTAAAGTCCCTTTATAAGGTTGAACCTTTGAGGATGCTGGGAACCACAGGGCCACTGGTGCAGCCAGCTTCCAGCAGCCTTGCCCTACTTCACGTGGGTAAGACACGCTTACCATACTGTGCTCAGCATTTCCAGTGACCAGGTTCTGCGCCTCCCAAGAGAACTTACTTGGAGCAGAAGGCTCTTGTCCCAGCTCAGATTGGCACTTGGATGGTCAGCAGATGGGGAAATGGGAGAGAAACACTGGGCTGCTAGGATTTCTGAGCCTGTGTGTGAGGCAGCATGGTTTTGTTTGATCATTTACCTGACCTCCTACAAATTCCCTCGTATTTGTCCTGACAGTCACGACAACCCCACAATTAATGTTTGATGAACCGCACGGCAAGAGTCCCACATTACCTTCAAATTCTCACAATCCTAACAGCTAGGCTGTGTTTTCATTTTAGCTAAAGAGCCCCTGACATGTGCAGAGTTAGGCACACTCCACAAGTTTGCTCGGCAAACAGCAGAAAATCCCACTTCAAATTCATACTTCTGTTCCCTCAGGGGAAGCTCCCCAGGCCGCATCAGCAACTGCCCTCTGGGAACTCACAGTCCAGGGAAAGAGGCAGGGTCGCTTCAGTGCATCATATGAGCAGATGCTCACAAGGTTCTCAAGAAGAGGGGAAGAGAACACCAGTGCCGCTCTCTTCCTGCCCTCCACTGTCTGGATTCAGCGTCGGAAGGACCACCAAGGAATGAGTCTGGGGATTAGGTAGTTCAAATCTATGCAAAACAGTCTGTGCAGGAGTTGGTTGTCATGCTATTAAATATGATGTGCCCCACGGTGCAGAAAAGGCTAATGTGGGTGGGGGATGAAGGAATGGGTGGTCAGTCGGAACTGGGAAGCCGGTGGGAGGAAAGGAGAGATGCTCACTGAAATGGGACCCCTTCCTATTGCTCTGTGCCTGACATTCCCAGTGTGGCACAAGAGTTCAGGGTTCGTTTGGTGACCATCTCTTCAGGCATATTGGGGCTCCATTGAGCTATGATGCTCTGTCCTCCCTAGGAGGGACCCACTGTCTCAATCCACTTTATTCCTCCAACTTTCTCCCCAGCTGATCCCTATTGTAACCAAGGGCCTCTGTTTCCTCTTTCTCCACTTCTCCATATGATGGAAATACCATTTTGTGTTAATAGGTTATAAATAATTTAAATAGAAATAGTTGAATGTTATTGTATCTATACCACTGAAATGCAGTTAGGGTTTTTTGGCATACAAGGATTTCTTATTTCTTTTTCTTTCTTTCTTTCTTTCTTTCTTTCTTTCTTTCTTTCTTTCTTTCTTTCTTTCTTTCTTTCTTTCTTTCTTTCTTTCTTT